ATTTAAGATCACGCGGTCAGTCATGTAAAACGATTCAATTACCTTCATTGGCAAACCAATGCTATCTTTACATGGTAGATTCTAATACAGCATAAATAATAATTAATTAAAAGTAATAGATTTTTGTGATATTGGAAGTTAGAACCTCTAACTACAATTACAGAAAAGCTTGTGTATGAATCATGCGCTGAAAAATGTAACATTGCATCATTTGTATTTCAGGTTTGACCGCAATTATGAAACCAACCCAAACCATTTCTACTTCACAGATTTTGAGCGCCACAACGCTGAAATTGCAGGTTTTCATCTGGACAGGTATGACTTGATTCTGAATGGCACTGTTGCTATTTTTGACATATTTTAACCTCATGAATCCTTTAAAACATACGAAAAGAAATTCTTCAGTTCTGATCAGCCTATGTCGACGCACTGCTGCACGAATGCCTCTCCAAGACTTTGCGATGGACTTCTAAAAGTTTTCATCATCTCCCCTGTCTTGATCCAGCGAACTTCTTCGCCTCATCTTGTTATAGATCTGGAGGACGTCCTATAGGCCATTTACTTTCTTGGAACCCAGTCTCATGTCTCTCTGGTTCAGAGGTGATGGGTTCTTCTTGCAACGTGCCTTGACTACCGCCACTTAAACTTCTTTACAAGAACAATAATTCTCCCGCATTCACTCAAGCATCTCAGAAAAAAATACAAGAATCCGCTCCTGAAGTTACTGAATGACAAAAATATAGAGCAACGCGGGGCAAAACGGTGTATAATTTAATTGTTAAAGTGGTTTGTCGTGTGATATGGACCACTAATTTGGACTTACGCCTGGTGCAACTGCTAGGGGACGAGTTTTACTACAGCTGTCTACTTGGGGCATGTATCTGGCTCAGATGGTGCCGCGCACACAGATATGGTTGACAGGTGCAGCCGACTTGACTTCATCGTTTTTTTCTGCTAGTTGAAATCTTCACCTCTGGCCATTTCCACAAGCAGAACGTCTCTGATTTCTGATATCCGCTGTATCGCAATTTTTTTAAATACTTTCACTACCAGACATCGGTCACTATATCGTAGAGCAAAATATTCCTATCAGCTCGTCTCTACTTGTTCCTCTATATCACGAGCTGGCATTATGGTTGATGTTTGCCGCAGTGTGACTCTCACATGCGAAGCTCAGGATTTCGAGTAAATGGTATATGTTTGTGTTACATAGCAAAAGTCTGTTTCTTAATCTCCACATTTACTCAACCTGAAAGGGAATAATCCTTTTCTAAAAGATACTGCCATTTAATCCTCATTATGCGCCAAAGCTGCTCTATGATGTTCAACGGTCGTTTTTGCTCCTTCACTAGAACAGTTCTCACCATGCAGAACAAGACTACTGTACAGATACTAAGATAAGGCAGTTAGTGATTTTGTAGTGGAAACGGATACTCGTTTCTCCGTAAAATATTGGACAAATTTGCAAAAGTACCAGAGGCAAAGGCAATTACTCTGCTTAATTCTACTATTCTAATTACTGGACCATGCCATCTCTGAACAGGAGGGAAACAAGATTTCAAAGCAGATCAACCGCCTCTACGTACCATGACATTTTCTGGTTCTACTTGCAGATCTGCCGTGCCATAAATTCATATCGCAAATGTCTTGGCAAAATAGGCGGCATGGACGCTGAGAGTGCTGATGACAATAGAAAAGGTGCAGCGAATGGCGCGACATCCGCGCGAATCGGATCAGCAGGTAGTCCTTTCGCTCGAACAATCATACAACAATTACAAAGATCAAATTTCCATAACAGTGTGAAGGTTCACTGATAAATTCTTTGTTGAATTTCACAAATTTGTGGCAAATAGAGTGATGTTCTGGTGGGTAAAGCTAGTAGGTGTGAAACTTATGGCCATACTGTGCGATGCCCGTGCATTACGGCTGCAACTGACTTTGGCCACACGATAACAGACTGAAACTCAAAACAAAGTATAAGTGTATATAAAAATTTCCGCTATGCTGAGTGTGCATTACTGCGAAGAGTTTGAATGAGAAGGCCTAGTTAATGTCTCAGAGCAGCTTCTGTAACATCGGAGAATCAAGTAGAACAGACAACAACTTGAAACAGTAAATATAAAACCATTATCTAAAAATTGGTATCTACTATAGTGATGGCAGTGGGAGTCTCTGGAAGGAAACGTAATGTCAATAAGAAGTTGATCTATGCAAATAAACTACCAAAACAACAGCACACAACAACCTCCTGCATCTCTTATGCCGAAGAGTATTTAAAAATCAATTAAAAGCAATCGTATTCAGTCAGCATATCATGCAATCCCTGATCTCGGTTAACGAAACAAGTAGATTATACCCATATGTACATGATCGACAAACATTCCAGATCAACTGCCTCAGTTTTGGTTCAAGATACACTGAAAAAGTCTAAGAGTTACAGTGCCCCAGATTTTTGCTGCAAAAAGACAGGAAGTTACAACGGGACGTTGTTCGTAGCCACATATAAATCAAAAAGTGAAACACCCTAGTAGACAATGGCCCGTCCAACTCAATACAAAGTACACAACCATATGCAATGCAATATGTTGTAATTAACGAATGAATGTTTCATTTCAGGGTACTTGGATTTCATCGCGCCATCCCCACCGCTGGAAGGAAAGTAAACATTTCCAGCGAACTGGAAGCACATGCTCAGGGTTTTTTAAAGAAGACGTTCTTTATTTCGCCGGGTGCAGCTTTACAGA